CGCCGCTCCCGGGGCTGCGAGAGGGGCAGAAGCAGTGTGAGGGGACCTGCCACCTCACCGGGGAGGAAAAGGCACATCCCCTTCCCCTCGGCACCAGCAGTCATGTCAGGATGGCCGAGGCTCTCCAGGGAAGGGAACGGACACAGCAAAACGTGTCTGGACGCCGCAGTTCTGTGCGGATTGCCTGCAGGCAGGCACAGCTGGAGGGGTGGAGCTGAGCTCCAGCTGCCCTACAACCTTCCCCTAACGAGGCTTTAACTCCGCCAGCAGGAACACAGCCACGTGGCTGCCCACCTGCACAGGGACGAGGATTCACGCAGAAGAAGGGCTCGCCACGCAGGGGAAAGGCTCGCCACGCAGGGGAAGGGCTCGCCACGCAGGGGAAGGGCTCACTAGCCAGGGTTCTGCCTGTTTGACCAAGGATGGACACGGCAGCACAAGGGAACACGGACAAGAGCTGCCCGGACACCAACACTGATGTACCCATGCTGCAGAGCTTCAACGAGGATGCTCCAAGCTGCACAAAAGTTAAACCCAGAATGAAAGAACTGGTGGATCCCAGAAACCTGGCGACTTATAAAATAAGGAGCACTACAAAGCTCAGCTTTACAAAGCACGGAGGTGGCCAGCACTGACTGAGTGTCCCACGGCACCTGGCTGTTCCCATCATTGCCATTTTTAAAAGCTTCTGGACAGTTTCACAGGGAACTCCAGAGAATCGGGATGAAGAATTACTTCATCTCAAGCCGCCTTCTGCTCCTTGAAAGTCTCCAGAGGAGAGAGGAAGGAGCCTGCAGGTACAAATTGAAACTTCAGCACTAGACGGGTCGCTAACTCCCACGTACGTCTGCTGAGTCTATTCCTGACGCTGCCGAGCTCTCCCTGTTCCACCGCGCAGGGCGGCAGCCGAGGCAGGTGCAAGCTGCGGGAGGAGAGCGCTCGATGCGTTCTGCAGACCCTGCGGCAGCATTGGAGAAGCTGGGGAGAGGAGCTGCCAGAGGGATCGGAGCAATGGTCATTGCCTCTGGCGTTTCCATCCCCGGCAGCAACCAGGACCAGATGCTTCAAAGGAAGGTGTGAAATCCTCTTAATGGGCAATTATGGAATAATCTCCCTTCAAGGAAGTTTTTTTCCAGCACACAGATACGCAGTGGCCGGTTTATGCCCAAAGAATGAATTTACAGGTTCTGAACAATGTTTACCTCACCTAACAAGAATGAGGCCATCCTCCGCTTCCCAAGTATTTAACTCTATTTCAAAAGCTATCGCTGAGCTGGTACGCTCCAGACAAGCCAGCAAGGCGTGGCTCTGACATGTTTGTTGAATTGGTTTAAAATTTGCTGCCTCTAATGTCACCAGCAGCTCCCTTAGCAAGAAGCAGAGTAGGTGGGGGGAAAAAAAAAAGAGCAAAGTGGTCATCTGCTGGAAAGGTGCCTGGATGAAAAGGGCAAGTTCTGAACAGCAACACCAACGAGACAGCTTGCACCCCTCCACCACGGGGACGGAGATAAGAGCTACAGAGGAGGGCACGGTCACCAACTGGGGACAGTACAGATCGGTCTTACTGTGTAGGACGACTTGCTGGTGATCTCCAAAAGCTTCTGCTTCGCTCTCCGCTCAGACTCGCGAGCCTCCTGAAGGTCTTGCTTTAGCTGATCAGCCTCCTTCGCCCTGCAAAGAAAAAGAGCAAACGGCAAATATCAGATTGGAGTGGAAAGGAATGAGAAGATGGAGAAGCAGGGTCACAGTGTAGGTGCAGGACAGGTCGAGATTTGTCCTGCAATGAGACCTCAGCTAAGAAATCAAGGGAAGCACGAGAACTTCTGACACGGGCGATGTTTTAATTAGCACAAAAATTCAAACCACAGAAGGGCAGCTCTGACACGGGCTCTGCGTGAGCATCGGGGAGCAAGGGCTGGAGAAGCGTGCTATGATGCCAGGACGGGGAGAACAACTTCAAAAGCTAAGCTCGGACTTACAGCAGGGGAGACAGTTTTCTGAGAAGTAAGCCTCTACTAACAATTATTTTTACATTCAAAAAGGAAAAAGCACCCAAGATCGCACAGCTCTGCCTGCTCACTGGCCCAATAATTCCGTAACGACTGTTTACCCTTGAGGCTCAAGGAGAAAGCCCAAGGAGGGAAGGAAGCCTTCTCTGCCGGACTGAAATCTGAGCGGAGACTCACAAGATCAAGACCAAGGCAAGAAGAGATGGGCAAGGGCAGCGTTCACCCAAGCAGAAGGGCTGGCACAGAGTGAGCTCTCACACGGAAAGGAGTAATCGGTTGTAAGGAAACAAGAATGATCTTTTACTTGCGCACTACCAACCGCACCGTGGGACCTGGGCTCCGGTATCAAGAGGATGGAAACACCGGTTTTAACAAGAAGTGAGGACTCCAGGAGCTAGAGAGACCTCCAGGCTAACCCGAAACAGAGACTAGTAAGGAGAATCGAACAACTGAGAGGTAAATAGAGAACAGTGAATGTCAATCTACCATCCAGAAGGATAAAAAAAAAAAAAACCCCAAGTGTTATTAATGATGTCAAATAATTTGGGCAGCGCAGCAGGTGTTTGCAGAAATCACCCAAAAAGGTAGAGCTGGTGTCTGCTGCTGCTGTCCGGGCGCGAGAGGTGTGGAAGGCAGTGCCAAGGACCACGCGACCTTCTCCCCCGCCAGCTGGTGGCCCCGTCCCTGCTGCTCTCACCACAGCATCTCTCCCAAAGAAGGCTTCAGAGGAGGGTCTCCGGCTCCAACCAGGGAAGATCAGGGCCAGCCCTGCTCCATCAGCACCGTTTCCAGCTCAGGGACAGCCCAGCTGCGGCACACAGTGAGATGGAGAGGGACAGCAGCTGAGCCTTGGGGCCATTTGCTGTTGTACACGCTCGGGAGGCCAAGGGCTCAGTGCAAACCATTGGAAGGACTAACTGGAGGCACGAGCCGCTCTTTCAGCTAAGTCAGAAGGGGGCTGGAAAGCAAAGCAGAGGCAGCTGCAAGGTTGTACCCTCTGACCTCCTCTCCGACTCCTCGGCCATTTTCAGTGCCAACATCTCTGCCTCTAGCACCTTCTGTTCCATCAGCCGCTTCTCCTCCTCCGTCCGGATGGCCGTGGCTTTGATCCGCTGCATCTCCTGTTCGGCCTCGGCTGCTTTCTGAGCCAGGAGCTTCGCCTCCTCCTCCGTGATCTGAGCCTTCTCAGCCAGTAGGTCTGCCGTCTCTTCAGACCTCATCTGGGAATTAAAGCACATTAAGCCATCAAGAGCACCAAATGTCTCCCCAAATGTGCTTCCAACCCCCAGCACAGGGCTCCGAGCTGCTCCCTCCCTTCCCTGACAGCCTGCAGCCTCCCGCAGCCAAGCGCTGGCTGTGCCCAGGCTCTGTCCCAAGCCCTCCTCCTTTGTGCTCCTGCCACGGCAGGCCAGCAGGATGAAACCAGCTCCATCCAGCCCACCAGCCGCAGTCTGAGAACAGCCACC